ACTGACTGAGCCACCCAGGCACTCCCTCTTTTGAGTTTTCCATTTTTTTCCTGACACTAAAAATTTCTCCAAAATAGTGTTGTTTTCTAGGGAAAAAAGTGAACCTGTGACTTTCATTTTATTTTTCATTCAATAAACATGTTTTAACTTTCTGATATATTGAAGACCTTATGCAAAGTGATAAATGTAATAGTCACAAGCTCTCAAGGAGACTCCAATTAGAGAAAATAAGATATGTACATGAATATCTTTATAAAAGTGGAAAATGTATGAGAAATGTCTAAATAAGGAGCTATGGGAAGAATATTTACATGGTTATTCACCAAAATACTAATAGTGGTTATCTCTAGGGGTAGATTTTTTAAAGTATGCTCTACACCCAACATGGGGGTCAAATTCACAACCCCGAGATTGAGAGTTGCATGCTCTTTGATTGAGTCAGCCAGGTAATCCTGGCAGTAGAATTTTTATTAATTGAAATTTTTGTTTTGCTGGGGGACCTGAGTGGCTCAGTCAGTTAAGCCTCTGACTTCGGCTCAGGTCATGATCTCATGGTCCATGAGATCGAGTCCCGCATCAGGCTCTGTGCTTCCAGCTCAGAGCCTGGAGCCTGCTTCAGATTCTGTACCTCCCTCTCTCTTTGCCTCTCCCCTGCTCATGCTCTGTCTTGCTCTGTCTCTCAAAAATAAATAAATATTTAAAAAATTAAAAATTTTTTTTGTTTTGCTTATCTGCAGGTTCTAAGTTTCTAAAGATAAATATGTATTACCTGTGAAATAACAAAGGGGAAACAATTGATTTTTAAAATTGTTATGGGAGTTCAAAAGAGAAACAATTCCTTCCAGCAAGAGCGTTGGGCAAGACAGGCTATGGTGAGGACATTTAAGCTGAAGGCTAAGGGGATAGAGGCGGGGTGAGGAGAGGGTGCGTTTCACATGGACAGAACCTCACTAAACTGAACATGAATTCAAGAAGATGCATAGTCATTACAGAAAAAGATGACTAGTTCAGTTTGTCTGGAGACTAATGTGTGGAAGCTAGGGTAGGAAATAAAGCTCACTGGCTAGGGCTTGCCCTTAAGTGCCAATTGAGTAGCCCAGCATTTCAGAGCCGAGGTATCCCTGGGGAAGTTTAGAACAAACACAGCCAATGGGATGGGGAAGCCTCATGGGGCAATCATTCTCTAACAAGAGGTAGGACTAAGTCAAGATACGTAGGCAGAGCAGAATATTGGCAGGGGATGGTGATGAGAACAGTGCAGCTTCTGAGCCATCGCTGCTTAGCATCTGGATGTGTAACAAAGACCTTTCTCATGGAAATCCCTGCTGAAGATTGGGAGTGCCAACACAGGAAATAGGCAACATCTCTGAGATCGGAGTGGTGGGTTTTAGGGCAGGGTGACGACCTCGCAGTGGAACTGCCATTCATGGGAGCATCTCCATTTTTAAGAACAGAGAGGGCAAGGGGCGGAGAAATTAGAGGCAGAAATCAGGTATAGAGAATGGAAAATGTAGGCCGGAAGAAGAGTAAAGATGATCCTGAGTCAATATCTTTTGAGGCAGGAATTTTTTTAAAGTTTGTTTGTGTCTGTCTGTCTGTCTGTCTGTATGTAATCTCTACACACAACATGGGGCTCAAACTCACGACTCCAAGATCAAGAGTCACATGCTCCTTGGACCTAGCCAGCCAGGTGCCCCAGGGTAGGAATTTCCTTTTTTTTTTTCTTAAATTTAAATGTTTATTTATTTTTGAGAGAGAAAGAGAGAGAGAGAGAGAGAGAGCACAAATGGGGGAGGGACACCAAAGTAGGAGTTTCTTATAAGCTTTAAAGGCAGATCCTAAAAGTTGAAGCTGAGGACTGGAAACATGACTTTGGTCAGCTGTGTGTTCTCTAGAAAGATGTAGAAATAATACCTTAACTAATAATATGAGCATATAAACATACCTATTTTCTTTCTTGGCTTTGGAAATATTTGGACTAGATTTGCAGAGAAATTTTTTTAAGGGCATAGATCCTAGGCTAGTACTAACTAAATTGGCATTTTCTTTTACTGAGTTTTGGCATTTTCTTTCACTGAGTTTTAGCATTTATCAAATATTACTTCATAACACTATGTTTTCCTTTCAGGCCTACATAGACGCCCACTTTATTCTTTTTTATCCCTAAAGTCAGAGACCTTTCATGCCTTGATCACTCCAGCCACCTTCAGGGGTAATATCGCTTGATGCTTGGGTCTTACTCCAGCAAAACTTTTCATTAACTTTAGTGAAGCCAAACATTAAGTACTGGCTGAGCCTCCCAGTTCCCACCTCCATACAATGTGATGTCCTGTAGAGGTTCGCTTCCCTTTTCCCTTGCATACAGTGCTGGCTCTGCCACTAATGTGTGACCTCTGGCAAGTCTCTAAACTTTCTAAGTCTTAGACCTATCTGTAAGTTACATGCAGGCATTGAATATGATTTAAAAGATATGAACACTCTAAAATTCTATGATCTGGACCCAATAATACATAGAATTTGTTAGTGAGTGCAATTAGCTCCTAAGGTTTCAGAATATGGAGCCCATGGAGAAAAGGCTCTAAGTCATGTAACTGCTCGAAACAACTGGGATAGGGGTGCCTGGGTGACTCAGTCAGTTGTAAGCATCCGGCTCCTGATTTGGGCTCAGGTTATAATCTCACGGTTTGTGGGTTCAAGCCCTGTGTTGGGCTCTGTGCTGACTTCGAGGAGCCTGCTTGGGATTCTCTCTTTCCCTCTCTCTGCCCCACCCCCACTTGAGCACTGGCGCTCTCTCTTTCAAAACAAATAAACATTAAAAGAAGAAACAGCTAAGAAAAAGCATAAATTTCTAAATTTATTTTTCATATTTATTTTTATTTTTTAAGTTTATGGGGGGGGGGAGGAAGGGACAGAGAGAGAGAGAAGAGAGAGAATTCCAAGCAGCAAGCAGTCTCTGTGCTGTCAGCACAGGGCCTGATGCGGGGCTGGATTCCATGACCCTGGGAACAAGACCTGAGCAGAGATCAAGAGTTGGATGCTCAAGTGACTGAGCCACAGAGGCACCCTAACTTATTTTTCATATGTAGCTGCCCTTATTCCCACATTTTATGTAATGGAGTTAACTAGACTTTTTAAATTTAAAAATAATATTTAAGAAATGCTTTATAACATTGGGGCTTGAGTTAAACTTCTTTTGAAAGGGAGAATCATGATAACACTCCTGAGGTGCTCAATGAAATGCCTCTTCACTGACGACAGCCCTGTGAAGCATTGACCATAGCTCATTTTGCGATTTGCATCGCTAGCCTATATTAGAATTGTTGGTATTATCATAAGACATTCCCAACTATAGAAAAATGATCCATAGAGGGTAAGGTTTAAGTGACAAGAGCAATCACAGAAACAAACTGAAGAGTGAGATGTATTAGAGAAGACAAAATTTCATTAGCGAAACCTCAGGGGTGGTTGGGAAGGAAGAACGCAAGCCAAGTCTTTCAAAAAAAATGGGAGACTGAGGGGCACCTGGGTGGCTCAGTGGGTTGAGTGTCCAACTTCCGCTCAGGTCACGAGCTTGCGGATTGTTGAGTTCAAGCCCCCCTTCCGGCTCTGTGCTAACAGCTCAGAGCCTGGAGCCTGCCTCAGATTGTGTCTCCCTCTCTCTGTTGCCGCCCCGCTTGCTCTCCCTCACTCTCTCTCCCTCTCAAAATGAAATAAAGATTAAAAAATTTTTTAAAATGGGGGGCTGAACTATGATAACCCCAACCGCCTCAAAGTTCAATTTTAATTACTTATTAAATACACAAACATTTTGGGGGGGGTGGCAGGTGTAAAAATGTAGTTTTTACTTCTCTTTCAAACCCTGTTTCCAGATGTCTCGGGGTTTTCTCTCATAGGAGGCTGAACTAGCCTACCAGGTTCAACCACTCTACCACGACCCCCCGGGTGTGCTCTGCAGCGATGACCCCCTGGGTGTGCTCTGCAGCGACGAAGCGCATTGGGAATGGCAGGGCAGGAGTGTGACTAGTTGAACTACAGACAGGAAAAAAGGGAAAAGGGAAGGATCCAGACTGATAGGGGAGAAGGGGGTAAGGCATATGAAAAGAAAGTGCAAGGAAGAGGCAGCGTCGGGTTGAGGTTGGCTTCACTGTCCTTCAATTTTGGACACCGGTGGTGAGCTTTTGGCGGCAGGGACGGGCCCTGCTGCCTCTGCATGTCGCTCCTGGGCTCTCGGGTATTGCAAAAGGACTGCAAGGTCTGGAGCGGGTTCTGGGCGTAGAGCACCGAAGGCTCGACTTCGCGGGGAGGTTCTCCCTGCACCCACGTGTGCTTCAGTCCTTCTCCCCTCGCCCTGGAAGGCGGATTACATCATGCCAACCTGAGCAGCCCGGCCAGTTTTTCCATTTCAAACTCCTGTTCTCTGAAACGTCAACTCTCTCTCCTTAGGTAAACCAGGATGTAGCTCTAATGTTTCTCAGTCACCATTAGCGACCAGGGAGGGCACTCCAGGATGCGTCTCATTTTAGCGATGAGACTCTTAATGACCCAGGGCGCCACTTTTTCTAGCGTTTATGAGCTACAGCTACACAGGAACGCACGGCCATCAGGGGCTGTTGCTGCGCCAAGCCCCTCGGCTGGACACACGCGACAAACACGACTGGGAACATCCTCAGCGTAGCCAGGAGGGCGACCCCGGGAGTAACGGCGGTGCCAAGGGGCTACTCCAGCGTGCTGCGCCTGCGCAGTCACCAGGCAGCGCCTCCCTGCGGGGCGTACTCACAACGCGGCGCGCCCTATCAGGCGGCCGCAGGGAGCGCGCCCGCGGCCTCGCCCTCCCTCGCCCCTCCCCTCTCTCGTCTCCATCCTGCCTCCGACAGAGGCTGGGAGATCCGGCGCACAGCTCTCCGCCCCCGCGTGCCCCTACACGCTCCGGCGCGCGTGCGCAGAGGCGATCCGCAGGGCTAGGGCGCGAGGGAAGGGCGGGCGTACGTCCTTGCGTGCGTCTCAGGCAGCGCGCACGCCGGCGTGAGAGGGCACGGGGAAAAGGTGGCTCTGGCCGGGGCGGCTCGGCTTCCTGTGGCTATGTAGTTGAGCTTGTCGGCTCGGGGTCCTCCTTCACTGCCACCGCCGCGTCCCGGCACGGAGTTTCTGCTCTGGAGGGAGACTGTCCTTACGCCTGCCGCACTCCCTCGACGGCAGAGCTTGCTCGCTCGCCCGTGGGAGCGTCCCGGCCGAGCAGCCCTGAGGGGGGAGGGGAGGCCATTTTGTCCCGACCGACTCCCCGGAACCGGGCGGAGCGGCTGGGAGAGGCTGCGGAGCCGCGGTCGCCGCCCTCGGAGGCACCGGACGCCGCCACCGTCGGGGGGCTTCCTCGACGAGGACGTTCACAGGTCGCCCGCGCCCTCTCGAGCCCTCGGTTTTCCCACGCTTCCCCAGTCCTCTGGCCTGAGAACGCCCGAGTGAGGAGTTGGCTGTAGTGAGAGGGACCGATCCCTTGGGGCCGCCGGCGGCGAGAGCCTGAGCCGCTCCTCCCAATGGCGAAGAAGACGTACGACCTGCTTTTCAAGCTGCTCCTGATCGGAGACTCGGGAGTGGGGAAGACCTGCGTCCTTTTTCGTTTTTCGGATGATGCCTTCAATACCACCTTTATTTCCACCATAGGTAAGACCCGTGGGAAGATGGTGTACGGTCTGGGTAGCTGCAAACCGTGTCTTTTACTCCAGACATCTTGCTTCCCGTAATAAATGCCTTTGTTTCAGTGATTCCGATTCCAAGCGACAGCCCTAAGTTGCTGTTTGAATCGACATCGAGCTTGCTGGGGCGGGGTCTCCTCCTGCTTTCCATCCTGTCTTTTGCTTTCAGTCTCCTACTCTGCTCGGTGCCCGTGATGCAAAATATGCAGCATTAGCCACGTTCCAGAATGCTGTTTCTTTAAGCGACTGCACTGGCTTTTTCCATATTTGTGTGGCGTTACTAGATGCACGATACTTGTAAGGGATTTATTTTAGTGGTTGGGACTGAAGCCGTAGGTCATTTGGTAAAGGCCTGAATTTGTACTTAAGGGCAAAGAGAAGATTCTATGTGGTCATAACTTAGAGTAAACTTGAGGGTTTGTGTGAGGAATAATTAAAGCAAATTAGAGGGGAAAAGTGAGTTCCCCCGCGTTGACTAATCCATTGATGTGTCAAACAATCGGAGGCTCTTCGTGCTTGGGGTGGGACTCCGTGGCATGTTTGCCTCACAGTGCTTTTCCAGACGGCAGCTGAAGCAGTAACCCAAGGGAGATGATCAGTTTTTGCCCTCAGCCCCGAAAGATTGAAGTTCTATCTTTGACTTTACGCTAGAATTTACAGGGAAACATTTGGCCAGTCCTAGCAGTAGAACTTCGAATGTGCTTTCACCTTGTGTTTCAGAATTACTTAGTGTGGAAGTAAGAACTAAAGATTGACCTTTTTAGTCGGTTTCTCATTTTGGAAAAGAAAAGCGAAGGCTCTGGGGAAGTCCCTTTGGATTCTGATTAGAATATTTAGTGGCAGTAACACGACTTGTGTTAAATGAATTGTATGTGAAAAACGTCTCCCCCTACCACCAAAACGCAAGAAGTATCTTAAAGGATAAATGGTTGCCTCTGTCATTTGGAACCCAGCACTCAGCATTGGGGCAGTGCAGTGAGACCCAATCCGAAACGTGACTAATTTTATATTTGAGATGATTTTAAAAAGCAACTGCAGCCTTCCCTGAACTCTGGGAATTGTCAAAATTAAGCTGATTTCAGTTTATAGCATTACTGGAATGGTTGATTTTGATTTCTCATGTCAGCATTTTTGCTAGCTATTTAATTCATTCTTACGAAATTATACCGAAATTAAGTTGGGCAAATGATAATTTTAAGTAGATTTTAATTTTACTCTTCTGTCTTTTGGGATGGGTGGGAGACACTGCAATCATTATTGCACGTGTATCGTACTATTTTCTTGACCTGTCATAAATTTCGTGAAATTTAGAACTTGTTTTCTGCTTGTGGATTAGCACTTCCTACCACTAAGTTTGCTTTTAATATGCCACCACTTTTAGCTGTAGCTGGGTGGGTCACGTGGCCAGATAGCTCAGCAAATATTTATTGAGCACCTGATGCTGGGCACGGTTTTAGGTACCGTAAATGGTGAACACCCTGGACCCCTTGAGCAGTCTAGTGAGGACAGTCACAACAGAGCGTGGGAAGTGCTACAAAGGGATGAACATAGGGAGGAGGGGTGGCCAGCCGAAATCATGGGGAATCTGAGTAGGCTTGCATGGAGATGATATCTGAAATGAAGCCTGAAGGACGTAGGATTGGACCAGGGAAATGGGATAGGGCCTAGAAATTCTGGAAGAGGGAGCATAGTATAAACCTTTAGCAAGATCAAGATCAACTTTAACCTGCCATTGAGAAGGGTGGGAAGGGTAGGAAGCAGTGCAGTAAGCTCCATCCATTGTAGTCTTTTTGTAATGGGTACATACCCACAACTGGAACCCAATCCTAGGAGATAATGACACAGTCTTGTGTAGTCTTTTTAGTTTGTTTGTTTTTAAGTTTTATTTACTTATTTAGTAGTCTCTATACCAGCATGGGGCTCAAACTCTCAACCTCAGGATCAAGAGTTGCATGCTCTTCTAACTTCCAGCTAGGCACCCTTTGTGTAGTCCTTTTATTAGGGAAAATGTGTGGTGGTGGTTCTGGTTAGAGCCTGCTTGGTTGGAGTCCTACTTCCACAGGCTGTGGGACTTTGGCAAGTTACTTAACCTCTGTGTGCTTCAATTTCTTCATTTTATTTTTTTAAGCTTATTATTTATTTTTGAGAGAGAACACTCAAGCAGTGAAGGGACAGAGACAGAGAATCCCAAGCAGGCTCCGCACTGTCAGTGCAGAGCCTGATGCAGGGCTTGATCTCCTGAGTTGCGAGATCATGAATTGAGCTGAAATCAAGAGTTGGATGCTTAAGCAACTGAGCCACCCAGATGCCTTTCACTTTCTTCTTTAAATAGAATCTGCTACATAGGGTAGTTGTGAGGATTTTATGGGTCAGTGAGAGTAAAGCATCTAGCATGGTGCCAGGCATACTGTAGGAGCAGAGTGCTTATTAGCTAGATATAGAATACATGAACCTTTGGCTGTTGAAGTATGGCAGAACAAGTTACTTTATGGATTGAATGCCTTGTGCACAGTGCTCTCTCAAATACTTGTTAGTCTCTGCTAAACAATTTCACGTTAGACTCTGAAACTTTCATATTTTGATATAAAAATATTTGGTATGTTCGGTGTTTTGACATAAGGGATAGGTTAAAGAGTGTGAACTGAGAAGTGAATAAATATAAAATTCTAAGTATAGTTCCAACAGATACTGCATGTATCACTCTGTGTGCAGGTTTAGAAGTCTATTAAACCAGTGTTGTTTAAAATAAATAGAATGTGAGGCGCCTGGGTGGCTCAGTCAGTTGGGCGTCCGACTTCGGCTCAGGTCATGATCTCACAGTTCGTGGGTTCAAGCCCCGCATCGGGCTCTGTGCTGAACGCTTGCTCAAGAGCCTGGAGCCTGCTTTGTATTCTGTGTCTCCTTCTCTCTCTGTCCCTCCCCCGCTCACGCTCTGTCTCACTCTGTCTCTCAAAAATAAATAAGTGTAAAAATAAATAGAATGTGAGCCACATATTTTTTGGTATTAAAAAAGTAAAGAAAGGTATTTTTTTTAACATTAAAAAAGTAAAAGAAGAGTTTAATAATGTTTGGAAAAGACATTTTAAGGTTTATTTAGTTTTGAGAGAGAGAGAAAGAGACAGAGTGTGAGCAGTGGAGGGACAGGGAGAAAGGAGGACACAGAATCCGAATCAGGTTCCAGGCTCTGAGCTGTCAGCACTGAACCCCACGTGGAGCTCAAACTCAAACTGTGACATCATGACCTGAGCCGAAGTCAGAAGTCCAGCCGACTGAGCCATCCGGGCGCCCCAGAATTTAATAATGTTTTAATTCATTTTACCCCAAATGGTATCATTTTATCATCTAATCAATATTAAAAAGTTGTTGAAATATTTTATATTGTTTTTCTTCATTGTTATGTTATACACTTTAATTTCAATTTAGGTTTGGCACGTTTCAAGTGCTTAAAGTCCCATGTGGCTGGTGGCTACCATATTGGACAGTGCATGTCTGAACAGTTTGAACTAGCTAGTTGGCTAATGGGCAGGGGACTAGAAATGATTTTGAATGTATGCTATTTTTTTACTTTTTAAAAAATTAAAAAAATTTTATTAGTTTATTAGGGTTATTTCTTTAGTTTTTTTTTTTAATCTAAAGCATTCACTAATTATGAATGATAGTGAAATTTGAGTTGTCAGTTAACTGTTAAAACCTCTTGAGGTTTGAGTAAGTAGTTACCTTGCTAAGTGAGTATTCAGAAATAAATAGAAGTAGGTATTCACAAGGACCAAACTGCCAATAAAAGGCAGGCCCTCCTTATTTCCGGTGGAATCATTTTAGTTGTTTATTGGTCACTGGTTCTTAGAAGAAAGAATTTTTATAGGCTTACTATGCCCATAGTGCTCACAAAGACTACAGTATTTAAGTTTTCTGTGTACTTTCAATTCCCACATGTTTATAGCAGAAATTATGTATGATATTTATGGTCAGATTTATTGCAGTGTTGCAGAAACAAATTACTGAGAAGTTCCACACTCACCATTCTCAAAGTGAATCCAAGGGCATTAGAATATAAGCTGCACAAGGGCAGAGATTTATTTATTTATTTATTTTTGCTGATAGAGGCTCAGCACCTAGAAGAGTCTCTTTTAATGGGTGCATGATAAATAATGAATGAAAACAGGGAGACAAGTAATACAGTCAGGATCCTCTAATATAGGGGCTAGTTTTATTTTAATATTTTCCTTTCTGTCTGCTTTCTGAGCGTTATATATGTGAAGTATATTGGGATCAGATTTTGCTTAAGAATAATAGCTATTTGGCTAATAGAGTAATTTTAGTGTAAAACTGCTCTTGGAAATTGAAAGATTGTTTGAGAAATATTTGCTAAAGAGAGCTATGGTTTTGAATGTGTAAATTTCAGTGGTCGATTTGGTTATATGACCTCTTGGCAGTATGAGGTCAGGAAAATATTACCCTTTATTTTATTTTTATTTTTTTAATGTTTATTTATTTTTGAGAGAGAGACAGACAGACTGTGAGCGAGGGAGGGGCAGAGAAAGAGAGGGAGACACAGAATCTGAAGCAGGCTCCAGGCCCTGAGCTGTCAGCACAGAGCCCACCCCAGGGTTTGAACCCAGGAACTGTGAGATCATGACCTGAGCTGAAGTCGGACGCCCAACCGACTGAGCCACCCAGGCACCCCTATAAACATTACCCTTTAATAGTAGTTACATGGACTTGTCCTAAGGCAGAAATTTTTAGTGGGCTGTCGAATGTGGTACTTTTTGGTATTGTTAATGGCTCATTCCATGCCTAGGTGTATTGTTACCTTTTCCGAAGGGAGTTATCTTTTGTTGGGAAATGGAATGTCTGGGCTCCATGCAAGAAGGTAAATTGGTAAAGGTTCTTGCCCCTGGGAGAGGTACAATGAATGCTTTCTTTTTGTTGTCTTTCTGAGTGTTTTTGCTAAGCTTTGTTAGAGTAGGA